GGGAGTGCTCCACACGCTGGCTACGAAGGGGAGGAGGAGGCCGCGAAGGGGAGGTAGCTGGGAGGAACGGCCACACACAGGGAGGGGGATCCTGGAGATGGACAGTCCGAGAGGAAGGGGGGCCGGGGCTCAGCGGGCTCGGGAGGGGAAGGGTGAGCAGACACCGGGAACGCGAGCGCTGCGAGAACCGGAGGGTGGAGACGGATGGGCGTGTGTGGAGCTTTGAGGGCAGGAATTTAATGCTGCTGGATCGGGAGGACCAGAAGACCACGATGGGGGCTGCACAGACGGGACGGGGTTACCGAGCAGGACGAAAACTGTCCAAGGCAAAGTGGGACCTACGAGGGCTGGAGAAGGGTGGCGGGGGCGGCCTCGGGCTCGGCAGGAAGGCGCCACCACCGCCTTCTGCCCGTCCCCAGCGTGCCCCGCCCCGTCCGGGGGCCCTAAGGGCAGCGGCCTGGGCCTGGGGTGTGGGGGGGGGAGCGGAGCCAGGGCGGTACCATTCGGAACTGAGAGGGGGGCTTGGGGGAGAAGGGAGGAGCCAGGGGTCAGAACCCTGTTGGGGGCGGGGGGGCCACACCCTGGGAAAAAGGCTTGGGCACATCCAGAATGGACCAATCAGCGAGCAAGGCCAGGGTGGCGTCAAGGGGCAGCTTCGGCCAATGGGAAGGGAGAACACTTCGGAGGTTCGGAGGAAGAAAAGAAAAAAAAAAAAAAGCCCCACGAAACAACAATCGAATCCGTTTGGGGGTTTAGAAGGCTGGGAGTGGGCGTCGTTTATAGCACATTCTGGAGCCTGTCCTCCCCTGTGAATGATGGGGTCTTCTGCATCACTCTCGGACCGCGGGAAGCACACGGAACTGAGGGTCCCGGGAAAGTAGACAGGGATTGGCCATTTACGGGGGCTACTTGATTGGGCACTTCAGTCTGAGGGGTGGGTGAGACGGAGGTGGCAGCTTTGTGCTCAAAGGAGTGGAAAAGGTGGTGGTCTTTTACCCTGAGGCAGAGGTGGGCGGGGGGTCCTCCATTCCCCCATACTGGCTACTGACTTCGTGTCAACCAGCAAGTGGATCGCGGTCAATCTCAAAGCAGTGGATAACTTAAAAAAAAAAAAAAAACGCTCCTTGGGATCTGAACATGATCTACATATTCACTCCCCTCTACATATTCACTCCCCTTCCCAACCTCGGGCAACGGTAGGGGTCCATGCTACCACAGGGAGCTTCATAGAAATTTATAGTGAAGCTTTTGGCTTCGGAGTTAGCCTAGGGTGCGAGTGCCTACTGACACCGAGTAACACAGGATAACACCACTCTACTTTGAAATCTTTACCCTAGAAAAAAGAAGTATTACAACTAGTTAGCTTTGAGGTCTTAACATTTTGGAACTGATACAGAGTGGTGTGTTTGAAGCAGGCCACATCTACATGGGTGGCAGTGCGAGTTAGGAAAGAAAACTCGTGCAGTGGCAGAGAGCTTTTGACCCAGGGCCTCCAATATCCTTAAAGCTCCTGGAACTATGTAAAATAGTTTTGTTTTTGCATTTCTCTCTGGGAGGGTTCACCTCATCAAATCCTGAGGGGTCTGTGACAGCCAAAAATTAACCCAATTTTGGGTTAATTTTGGTCTAACGAGGCTGGGGGTAGAGACCTGGGACAATCACCCTCCAAGGCAGGTGAAATGCAGTAGGCAGGGCTTTGGAATCAGGAATTTTAATTTCTTGTTAGATACTCAGCTGCAGGGACTTGTCAACCCAAGAAAGGTAGCTTTCTCAGAACTGAGAAGCCCTTGTGAATTGCGAGCAAAGTAATGCTTGAATAAATGATAATCCGTGAACAGTTGGCCCTGAGTTTGGAAGTAAAGGGACTAGAGCTTTACTTCTGAAAGTTCATTTGTAATCTAAGGGTAAAAACCTTACTGGTCAAGAATGAGAAAATAAGAGCTAGCTACATTAGACTGTAACCTGTGCAAACTGGGAGGCGCACATGCAAAAGAAAAGGTGGTTAGATTTAAAGCTGGACACAGCTTCAGCATCATTGAGGGTCAAGCCCACGCAGAATCCAGTTGTGTATGCTTCTTTTAGGTTAAGAGGTCAATATACAGTATTTTTTACTATCCCCGACTCTTCAAATTGGTTGTCTATGGCGGCTTGTGTCTGAGGTGGTATATTTAATATCATGGGCTGGGGTAACATCACGTTGATTAGGACTAACCTCACAATCCTTGGTTAAAAAAATGAGGTTCCCCTGACTAATCTGACTAAAGAAATACAACAGGGAGCACCCAATGATTCAATGGGAGACAACATAGAACACATTCCAGGTTAAATAGATAAAAATGCTTTTATTTCTAAAATGTGGCTTAACTATGACCAGTGTGCTAAGCCAGTTTTGGAATGGATCCTGCAGCTTGGAGTAAAACCGGGCCACTGCTCAGTCGGGGCTCCTGGTTCCGGCAGGACATAACTCCTCCAGCAACTCAATGTACAGAGATCTTCTTCAGCTATTTTTTGCTCTGCGAGGACAGTCATTTTGGATTCCTCTGTATGACAGAGATGTCTGACCTTGAGGGGGACTGGTTTCCCACGTCCTCTGCTTTTATAGGCTGGATGATATGGCCTGGCTTGGTGACAATCTTGGGTGTGGTCAGCTTCTGGAAGGCCCTCTGGGTGTTCCATGTAGGTCCTAAAGGTATCTGGATGGTCCTTTCAAATTGCTGATGGTGGGTGAATGGATATGGAAGTGCCCGCACCTGAAAGGAAGGCAGAGTGAGCTGGTGTGGGCCAGGCCCCATGGCAGCCGGTCAGGTAGTTTTGGCAGACAGGCCACAGTTGGTCATATTGGTTGCAATGTGTGAACCCACTGGGAGTCAAGGCATTCCAGTACAATCTAGTTTCAGGAGTCCCAATCTGCTTGAGGACATTTATGAGTACAAAGGCTTAATTTGGGTAAGGAACTCTCCCAACCAGGCTTACTCAATAATCTACAGACTGAAAAACCACCAACACTGCCCCTGTAGCTGTGGGTCTCTGTCGGACCCTGGACTGCTGTCCCCATGAAATCTTCCTATATAACACTAACTGTAAGAAACATGGGACACCTGTGTATCTCTGTAGATTTTTTCACCCGCTGACCCTCTTCATGTTCTTAATTCCTTCCTTTCCTCTCCTTGACACACAGGACTGATATTTTAAGGCTATACAAATATAGACTCTTGAATCCTAAACTCTACCAGGCTGTTAGAATTAGTCAGCTTCATCCTGTCAAAGCTGAAGTACTTAGATAAGGTCAAAGGACATCTCCCTTGACATGACCTCCCCCCCCCAATTTGGCTTGGAGAGGGGAAATGATTTACCCATGTAAATGAATAGCAAGTGACAACAAAAGCTAGTACTCCTGCCCAATACTCCACTCCACTATACTGTTCTCTTCAGACATTTAAATAATCTTTAAACACTTCCCTAATGGGCATAGTGAAGGGGGAAAATTACGCAGAAAAACGGGCACATTACAATCAGTAGTCTCTGGAAATAATTAAAGGAATGTACAAATGCCGCTGAGTACTGCTTGGTGCTTCTGAAGGACAGGCTCTCTTTGGTTGAGGGAATTTCTTCTTGGGGTTGAAAGCTGACAGCTAGATCTGTGCATGCCACCCAGGGCCGGAGAGGAAAAAACACTTGGACAATGTGTTCAGTTTCAGACCCCCAACCTCTGCCCCAGCTCAAAGCACAAATTATTCTATATTCTATGCATGCTGGAACCTGCAACCTCTGGCTTATTAAAGGTCGGAAAACTTATTTTCAATCTGCTGTGACTGTATTAAAAAACAGCCATGACTTGGAAAGGAAAGGGCAGTTGTTATGGAGGTCCTCACTTGTCTTTCATCTAGAATCCTGGACTGTTGAAGCAGCCTTTTCTCATCCCATAAATGTCTATTGATTGCCTTTTTTTCTGGTTACATATCTTCAACTGGGATGACAGTGATTGCAATTCAACTTCTGCAGGGATTGGTTTGCAAAAGAAGATCAACAGAGTATCATTGAAATGTTATTTCCTCACTTCTCTTTTGTACCTATTAAAGACTCCCTCCCTTGGCCCTCCCTGATGGCGCAGTGGGTTAAAGCACTGCACTGAGAAGCTAAAGCCATTTCTGCCTGAGTTCGATTCCCGCCTGCCCCAGAGGTGACCACATGGCGCGGCAGACCTCTCCTGACCCGCCCGCTGCTCCCCTCAGCAGTGTATTTCGTCGATCTGCCTGTTCTGCTCCCACTGTCTCTGGTGAAGCCTCTCGCCACCCCTCAGCCTCTGGCCTGTACCCCAGTTCTGTATGTACAAATTAATAAATCTTTAAAAAAAAAAAAAAAAAGACTCCCTCCCATCCCCCTGGTCATTTTTCAGAAACAAAATACAATTCTTTATTATACTAGCTGGGGCTAGGTCTTAGGTCAGAAACTTTCAGAAATGAAGGGAGTAACAAGGTTTATCGGGTACAATTCCACTCGAGTCCCCTTTATGCTGGTAGCTCTTCCCTCGGCAGCCATTTGCTCTTTATGTGACAGCACCCCACACGACTGCCTGCCCTGTCTTTGAACACCACTATCATCTCTGATCTGCTTCTCCCTTGGGTAAATATCCCTAGCTCATTATCACATGACACAATCTCCAACCCTTTCACTGTCCTGAACAAGTGATAGTTTGTTTTTCTTAAGCCGCAGCTCAAATCTTAAGTCTTTAAACATTACCTGAACTCCAAACACAAGTTGGAAGAGCAGGAACTCTTAGTTTGGCTAGCTCTGTCTGCAGAGGCATTGGGGCTACCAGGTGGAGCTGCAGACGTGGGGGGCCTCACCCTGAGCTCTCCGCCTGACTTCGGATAGACAGTGCAGTCTGTCCGAACTATCTGTCTCAGCCGGTCAGTGCAAGTAAGAGATCTGACCCTATGGTCAAGGTCACATGTCCCTCTTGACCACAGAATGACTAGCATATTCCTGCTAAGCAAGAAAGCAAGGCAATAAAGAGGAGACAGCTGAAAAGCTCAACATCCCTCACCTGATGAGCCGCGGCATGGATGTTTCGCTTCTCACTGATAATCACATTTGGCAAATTCTTGTCTTTTCTTGGAGGACCTTCAGGGGCTTTAATGAGAAACCTGGAAAGCAACAGCAGGAAATCTGACTAAGAACATTAAGAAGGAGTCAGAAGGGTAGGGAGGACACTTGAGGGAGAGATGGGAGGGTCCGGTACCCTTCTGACAGGGTTTCTTTGCTATTCTTACCGGCGTCTCTTCTTGGCACTGGGCTTCAGGCCCACACCACCCCACTCGCCCCAGCCAGGCAGAGTCAGGTCCACATCCTTTGGCTTACTCGCCTCCACAGCCTCCCTCTTCTCTTTCAAGAAGTCTCTGATGACATCATCCCCAGCAAAAGCTTCCTTTATCATCTGCTTTTGATCTCTTTCCTCTTCATCTTCCTGGGAAGAAACAAGAGCCGGAGCTACAGCTTGCTTTTATGAGCTGTGGTCATGGCAAGAACACTGGAATTTTGGGTCATGACATTTTAGCGCCCTCTAGGGGGAAGTGTGGAACAATCATGGCCTTGCAATACAAACCAATCAGTAGCCAATCATGCTCCAATTTTCTTCTCTCTAGGGTAACTATCCCTAGCTCATTATCATATGACACAATTTTAAACTTTCAGCGAGGCAGCTGCTGGGTGGAGGAAGAAATCCTAGCCACAACGTATGCATCCATCCCCTGTAAAGACACACCAGGGCTCCTCACTGGAGTAGTTTCCACGACTTCCTCAGGGGGCCCTAGACCATTTGAGACACCACTGAGTAGAACATTAATGTTGCAACAGCTCAATGACTCACCTTAAAGTTGCCTGACTGGGATCTGGCCAGAACTTTGAGTGACTCTCTCCTTCTGAGGGTGGGTTTAGAGACACCCCATGGAGGGTATGGTGACTCAGGATTTGGATGGTGGCGCCTCGGTCACACGCACATATTTGCATCTGTTAACCTGTCAGCTCTGTATTACTGCAGACCTGTTAACTAAGGAAATTTGCCCCCAGCACCACGAAACATCACCAATTCTACTTCTTGTGCAAGAGGGGCCCTTTTTGTGCCAGCTCTGACCCCCCAACAATGGCTCACAACCCTGGCTCTGCTCACCAACTCCTCAACTGTTGTGGGAACTGCCAAAGACTTCACAGACGGAGATTTTGTGGTGAGAAGGTTCTGCAGATCAATCATTTGCTCCTTCTTTTTCTTCTCCTTGGGGGCACCAGGCTGATCACCACGGTTCCTCCCCAAGTGCTGACCCTCTGACACAGGCCTGGGAGGCCCCTCGTTTTGAAAACATCCTTCTTTGCCCAGTTCTTCAAGCTCTTCTAAAGTTTGTGCTCTCTCCGGCCTCTGCACCAGCAAGGGCTCCTCTTCTTCCTCGGCAGGTTCCAGACTTTGGGCTGGTGGAGCCGTCCCCACAGAAGTCACTGTTGGCTTCCCGGACTGATGGTTTTCCTTGTTGAGTTTCTGAGATAGTGCCCTGATTTCAGACAGCACCTCCTGGCTGCTAGAATCTGGGGGGAAAATGAAAGCCATCATAAAAGAAGGCTGGGAGTTGCCTTGCCAGTGAGACATTTGCTAAGCTCACTCAACAGCAAGCATTTGTGGAACACCCACTGGGTGCTAGGCACCGCTGAAGAGTCTGATGAGGACAAATCGGTAAAGAGGATTCCATTCACTGGATCTCCTGGAGAGTTCACTAATCGTTACCTGTCAAGTAGCAGGCAATCGAGTTTAGTAGTTAAAAGCAGCATGTTAGAAAGCAGATGTCCTGGGTCCTATTCTCAGCTTTGCCAATGACTCACTGTAGAACTAGAACTGTGGCTTTATTTCCCTGTATAGTAAATCCTGCATGGGGAGATGGCCTCAAATTTCAAATTTAGAAAAAAAAAAAAAGCCACTTTAGCAGGTGGCCTCAGAAGGCAACTTCATTGTAGTGTATATGTGTAATTCATAAAAATTTTACTTTATTGTGGTGATCTTCTATTTACAAAAACCTCATCCAGTACTGCCTTTTTTTTTAAGATTTATTTATTTATGCATACAGAACTGGGGTACAGGTCAGAGGCGGCGAGAGGCTTCACCAGAGACAGAGCAGGGAGCAGAATGGGCAGATCGACGAAATACACTGCTGAGGGGAGCAGCGGGAGGGTCAGGAGAGGTCTGCTGCGCCATGTGGTCACCTCCAGGGCAGGTGGGGATCGAACTCATGCGCAAGTGGCTTTAGCTTCTTAGTGCTGTGTTTTAACCTGCTGCGCCACCAGGGAGGTCCCCAGTACTGCCTTATTTTAAAGCAGCATTTCAGAATCTGCTGTGGCCAAGTCAAATAGCTGACATCTCAGAGTCCCAAGGGAAACATGGCAGTATCCTTTGACTTATTCAATTTGCCTCCATGCCCAAGTCTGTCTTTTTGTCTAGCCTTGGCTTGAAGCCACTATAGTAAGAACCCACTGCAATCTGGCCTTTGGACAACATGTACGTTTATTCTTCAAGGATCAACTTTCCTTGCTCATCTTGTTTGGGGGTCCAGGAATTCCCACTATTTCAAGATATGGTTTCCCCGAAGGTTTGGAAGCATTTTACTTAGTTATCCAAGGAAATCCAAATCTACCTTTCAAGCCACAACCAATAAACAGCTCTACACATGAAGCTAGATGACCAGCTTTTGAGGGGCTTGGGAGCATATAGCTGGTGTCCTGTGGTCATAGAGACTGGCCCACAATCTCAGCCTGCAGTGAGTACTGCTTCCCAAAGCCTCTCTGAATGACTGCTCATAACATGTCCTCTTGTAACTCTCCTACTGAAAACCTTGAGTAAAGGCCCTATAATGCACTTGCAATGATGGCTTGTCTAAGATTTTTATTTTGCAATGGGGAAAAAAATGCATCATCTAAATGCATTATTCCCACTGAAAAGAGCATCAGACCTGAGATCCATCCAGACAGCCAGGTCACTTAGGAGAGTGGGTATTGTGACACCCCATATTGTTCCCACACCCCATATTGTTCCCAGAACAGGAGCTCTATGACCTGCCCAGAGGGTGTTCATGTTCTTAATATAAAATCGCTGCAGGATAACAGACAGAGATACAATATACAACATATCAGATGTAAACACGGGGTGACAATTCTAACTTCCCATGAGCCTTGTGGAGCTACTCATTCCTGCCAGGATAGTCTTAGCCCATGTCGACACACACCACGTGGTAAAAATGCCACTCCTACTTTACAGAGAAGTGCAGCAATAGTCTGAAGGTGTTTCATCACACCGCAAAATCCACCTGTTTCTGTGGGTGTGAACAGATTTCCATATCTGCCACCCCCACCATACATACTTCTCTCAGGCTACAGGACCAGTGATGCTAATGCCTGACATGACTTCAAGGGTGGGCTTCTCTTTCTCAAGACTATCAGATCTTATCAGCAGAAAATGTATCTGAACACGCTTTGTACAGCCATGTAGGTAAATAACCAATTAATGCCTTTGGGCCCTCCCTGTGGCCCAACGTGTTAGGACGCAGCACTGCAAGTGAGCCACAGCCACTTCAGTGTGACCCACATGGCACAGCAGACCTCTCCTGTCTCACCCGCTGCTCCCCTCAGCAGTGTACTTCGTCATCTTCCTGCTCTGCTCCCCTCTCGGTCTCTGGTGAATCCTCTCACTGCCCTGCACCTCTGGCCTGTACTCCAATTCTAGATGCATAGATAAACAAATTTTAAAAAAAATGCCTCTGAAGAAAAATGGCTATTATGAACCTATTTTCTCTTTGGGGCCCCAGGGCACACATTGGCAAGTCCTGGAGCCAGGCACTCTGTTGTGTGTGAGGACAGACACTAAGTGTTCCTTTCATAGTTGTTCTGTAGCTCTAGCACCATGGATGGCTCCCTGGGAGCTTACCACAACTTACCTTTTGTTTCCTGATTGCCCCCCCAGTTGGTGTTCTGATTGAGTCTGGACTTTTTCCTAAGCAATCGCCTTTCCGCAAATTCTTTTAGCAACAATTCTTCTTCTGCCACTGGCTTGTCTTCTTCTTCACTTTCAGAAACCTCAAGGGCAACAGGCTTTGGCTGTTGCGCCAGGTCCTCCTGGATTTCTTCTTTGGGGTCACCCAAGCGACTCCTGAGCATCCAGGGGTTGGGTCCAGCTCCATTCACCTGCACCTTGTTCACCGCTTCAGGGACAAGGAGCTCGCCTTCCTCCTCCGCACCTGCCTCCACCTCTTCCTCACTTTCAGAGGCTGCCCGGAGTTTCTGCGTCAGTTCTTTGTTCCTAGCCAATTGTTCCTGCATGGCCTGGCGAGCCTGGAGGAAAAGCACTTGTCATCAGTGACCAACAACACTTTTTCTGGTCAGTTCTTAAAGCTCACAAATTCTTTGTTCTTTAGGAATCAACACGTGAAAGAAACAAAGTTGATTTTTTTCAAAGCTCCTCTCTCTTGTGAAAGACTTGCCTTCAAGGCTGCTTCCCTTTCACCTCTCCTTTCCCACATTATTCCTAGTCATTTTCCTCTCTGCCTTAGAGATTTTCTGGAGCCTTTTAAGATTCCCATTCACACTCCCACTCAGCCCCATGACTCTTCTCTAGCTCTGCTCCTGCTAGCACCCTTATGGACAGATTCCCCTTTGTCCTAATTCTATGTCTTGTCACCCTGATGGTCTCTTACCTCCAGGTCATATTTGGCCATAATTGCCTTTGACTTTGCCCATTTCCCACTGTTCTGGTGCTTAAGACTCATTCGCTCCTAGAAAGAAAGGGCAGTGTGAGATCTTCACCCCTTCCTGGGGAAAGTTGGTTCAAGGAGTGGGGGTGAGAGGCAACCTCACCATTATTCTGGCAGTTTCAATTTTTTCCAGTTCTTCCAGGGCTGCAGCAGGATTGACCTTACGTAGTGCCTCAAATTCCTTTAGGGTTTTCTTGGCCTTTTCTTTCTTTAGAAGTTTATGATACCTGCAAGGGGTAGGAGGGAAGTGATTTAGCTGCAACACCAAAAGCATACAGAAATGCTCCTGCTACTCAAGAGGTTCCTGATGTAAGGATTAGAATGGACAGCACAGAGCTAGCTGACTGCAGGGGCCAGCCTCTGCAGAGCAGAGTCCCCTCTGCTTCTATAGCATGAGGGAAGAGTAGAACAAGTTCCAAAGAGGCAAAGAGGTAGGAAGGAAGCCCTACTGGGCTCAACAGCTGTAGAATCCAGAGCTCATTCTACAGAATCACTCTGTGATGCCCTGGAAGGGAGAGAAAGTAATTGAACAGTCCTCTTTTTAGCAAAACGCAGACTTGAAAGCCATAGCCAGAGGAGAGCACACTACTGAAGCAGGCAAAACTCCTAAGGCGTTGGTAAGAAAAAAAAAAAAAGGCCCAAAACTCCTATTTGGGACCTTGTTACACTTGAGACTTCGTTACACAACCCCAGTGGTCACAGCAAAGCTTCCTTAAGGGCTTGTGATTAGCCACATCACCTTCTTCCACGGAACCCCAGGCCAGTTCACAGGGGCCTCCTTACTTTTTGCTTTTGATTCTCTTCTCTCTTCGAGCCCGAGCCTCATAGTAGGACTGCAGTGCCCGGGCCCTCTGAAGCTCTGCTCGGCGCATCTTAGCCTACAATAAATGACACTTCCAGTGACTCCTGAGCTCAAGGGCTGAGGCTGGGAGAAGCAAAGCACGTGCAGGTGTATGAAAGGGCCCATCTGACTTACCTCTTCCAGGCTCATGGCTTTGAGAGAGGCCTTTTCCACAGGAGTCAGCAGAGGGTCTGTCATTGGCTGCTTGTTCTTATGGAGGAGGTTAAAAATTTCCTGCTCCAGGGGAGTTCTTGCCTTAAGGAGGTAACAGAATATTATAATAAGTCTCAAGCCACGCTTCCCCTCTTTACAACCCGTAACCCTCTCCTTTATGGCACTGTCAACTGGATAAGACGGGCTATTACAGCAGAGAAGTCATAGTGTTTGGTTGTGGAGATAAAACCTTACTCAATTCTAAGAAAGACTTCAGTAATAGGAAGCTGGGGCTATGTTCTATTTTCACAGAGGGGATAGTCTGTATTCCGATTACCAATGTTTAAAACTCCAAGCAAGATGGTCTTAAGGTAAAGACTAGCAGGACAGAGGTATAGTAGCACCAAATTGTTCCGACAGTGGCAAAACAGAATGGCCTCGATACTGTGATACTGATCTGAAGCCTGCAACTATTGCTGTATAGTTAAGAAACTCAGATTCATATAAAACTACTTTAAAGACTATTTCCAGAGGGAAAGGAGGGGTAGGACATAAGATAAACATTATTTGCCACTGATGGTACAACTAGGAAGTTGATCTGCACTGTGGGTCAGAGGGGAGCCCCAGCTTTTCCAACCACACCAGTTGCTACGAATCGTTTATGCACTTATATGCTCTTGGTGTCATTAACACACGTGAGAAACAAGAACAAGGCATCCTTAGGTACAACCTACAAATTCAGTTTATGGCAGGGTATGTGTTTTAGTTCTCTGAGCACAAAGACACTGTCTTAAAAAGAAGATCTTCATGTAATTAGCTTGCTTCCTGACAGCTTAAATTTAACACTAGCACTTTTCTAACTCTGGTTCCAATTCCTCAGTTTCCAGCTAACTGTGCAGGCAAGGTAATGTCTATACCTGTGAAATGAAGACCATGAAGCAGTTACTTCACCCGTCAAACAAAAAAGCCCATTTGCTGCTTGGCTGATATTGGGAAGATACCTAAAATAACCAGGCCTATGGTGCCCCGGTCCACCCTGGCAAGGCACAAAGAGTGCCCTAGGTAATAGCACCTGTCCTAACCTCACACATACCCTATGCGGTTTTTTTTTTTTTAACAGTCAAAAACATCACAGTCAGTATTAAACTTACAACTGTCTGGACAAATGCTTAAACACACAATATCATACACAACATGGTGCTATTGATTGAACCCTAAACCTATCCTACTGAATAGTAAAGGTGTGTGTGTCTCTATTTTTAGTGTTTGCAGTAGTCATCAGTCACAGGTTGCATAGTGATCTATATTACAATATCGTAATCTCCCTCCAATGCAGTTCAACTTACAAACATGTATTGATGCAGCTATAGTCCAGGCACTTGTACAGGGTGCTAAGAATACACAATTGATTAAGATCATTCCTGTCCTCAGAGAGCTCATAGCCCTTTAGAGTAAAGAGACCCACCACTAACAACTTAATGGGTTAAGTAGGATTCCACAGGAGTATTCACAGAGGAAGGACAACTCAATTCTGATTAGGAGGTAGGCTAGATTTAGGGGAAGGAAGAGACTTTTTGAAGTAGGCTTTGAGGCCTAACTACAATTCTGTGAGGGGAAAAAACCCGGGAGGAATATGAGCAACAACACAAGATGTGGGAGAGGCATGTAGGGGACCACGTGCTCTCTTGTGTAGGGGAAAAGCAGGGTGCTGCTGTTTTATTCTCTAAGTTGAGTTACACTCAACCCCTCAGAGATGATTTTAAACAAGCAAAGGACAACCAGTTTTGGGGTTATACGTACAAGGGGTTATATGTCAAATGCCAAATCAGAGGTGTGAATGAAAATGGAAGAGGAACCAGGGACTTGAGAACTATTAGAGACAGAGATTACAGGACCAGCCCCATGAGGGCAGAGAGGGGTGGCAGTTAAGGGGCAAAAGGAGGCTCCCAACCCAGACGCCTGGGGTCACTGAATGAAGGTGGTGGGACAGGCTTGGGGAGTCTGGGGCAGAAAACACTGGGATTGGCTTGGACTGCTTGAAGTTGACAGTGATGTCAGTGATGGGGCTGAATCTCTGAGGGGTTGAGTCTGACGTGTCACCCAGACACACTGACAGTCAAGTGTCATGGAAGAGGACTGAGAGCAGCCAGATCAAAAATCAGGGGCATGTCCCAGCAGCAAGGGAGGACTCAGAGGGCTTGGGACATGGTGATTCGTAGGACCCTCACCAACGCCCTTCCAAAGAAGGTTCAGGAGGGTGTTAGGGGGCAGGGACAACAGAGGGCAGTGGAGAACAGAACTTCCCAAAGCAGGTTCTTCATCAGGTAACGGGATGTTACTTCAGGTTTTAAGTTAAAAAATTCAACTCATCTGATTTTGAATGAAATAGATTGAACAAATCTGGTCAGGGTGGGCCCAATCGGAGTTCTTTACTATCTTTTCATAGCGTTTGAAGGACTAGCATATTCAGTGAGTCGCTAGTCATCAGTAAGCGCACACAGCATTTTCTAGCATTAACCTGACCACCTCACTTTGGTGGGGGATTTTGAGAAACTAGGGCTTTGAGAAATGCTAGTGTAGACTGCTAGTGGAGGGAAGGAGAGGGGGTGGGAAAAGTTACATTTCTAGCACTTTGCAGTTTACACAGGTTCTATCACACATTTAACTCTTTTAATTCTCAGCGAGAGTGAAATGGAATTTTAAGAAGCTGGACTAAAACTATAGTGCAGACTGGGGACTCCTAATCTCCAAAAAGATTACTGTATTACACGTCCTGGGATCTTTGCACTCTACGGTGTAAGGAGAACTGGGAGCTGCTAGCCAGAATGCACCCCCAACCAAAACACTTTCTTGTTTTGTGTTTTGTTAGCATTTCTCAAAATTGAATCTCAGAACGAATGCATGGTATGGCACTCACTCAATGTGAGCACCCGGACCCCATTCTGTCTTGCACAGGGAATTCCTGGAGAGGAGTGGCTGTACCATTCTTAATGCAACCTCCTCTGTTTCATCTTTAATAGCCAGTGCAGTATTTTCCTGCAAGATTACACTGTCACTTGGAAAAAGCAAGGTGCAGAAAACATTGCTGCACTTTTTGCATCAAAAACCATAGTGAACAAAATATATGAATAAAACTCTCCATGTTAACAACAATGACACTCATCAAGTGGTTACCTCTGGAAGAGCATGGGGGTAAAATGAACAGATCGGGGACAGGCATGAGATTGGACTTTTCACTATTCATTGTCTATACTTTCAATGTTTGAATCCTGCAAATTGCATTACCTCTTAATTTTTTTTTCCTACAGTCTCCCTTCCATCGTGCAGCCACACTTTAAACCTGATCTGTGATTCAAGTGGAAAAGGAAGCATCCTAGAAAAAGAATGGTAGTGACTTCAACAACAGCCTCAGAAACAGAGCTTATGCCTATAGTGAGCAACTCCTCGTTCTAGGTCTAGTTAGAATGGTGAGCCTTGTTTACTTGGGTGGTGTTACTTGTCTTACTGTCCTGATACAGGGGCCTCTCTTCCCCTGGGGATTTCAGAAAGCAGAAGAAAAGCACAAAGAGGGTAGCTATCCTCCTTGTGTGCAGACACACACTGATGTTTTGGACTGTTTTTGTGCTTAAGAGAGATATCCCATCATAGGCTCGGAAAAGATAGGTTAGCTGTTCTGAAGCAGTTGTTCAGATTAAAAATTGAGACTTTAGGAATGGACGTGGGATGACCAACTTTTTATTTTTGACAAGAGCTTAGCTACCATCCCACCCCCAACCCCGTCATTTCCTACCCGCCCTCATTTCGTAAAAGAAAAACTTTTTGTCAACATCAGTGAAGTGGAGAAAACACCCTTGGTAATATAGAAGCACCAGCAACCTCATATCCACCATATTTACAAGCATCCTTTGCTTCAGAAGGATGACAAATTTGTCAGGGATCTGTGTTTGGTAAGCCCAGCTCTGGAATCATTTTTATAGACTCCTAATGAGTCCCTTGCCAAATGGCAAACTTACTGAAAGTCAAAAATGTGTTACTTGTTACAAGTCTACTCATTGTCAGCAATGTTGTATTTTAGCGGCATTCCTTTACAAGCCAACCTGGGGTTCCACTGCTCACTTGCCCATACCAATACCACAGAGATCCATTTTTCCCAGTTCAAACTGTGAGGAAAAGCTCTTTAAAAAACTGGGGTATAAAAGAGGAACAGTATGTTCCCTCTCTGCTAAAGATCAGAGGTCTTAACACAAACACCTGCAAACAAGTGTGTGCTGTGGCCTACAGACCAATGCAGGGCGACACCAGGGCTGCTTTGCCTGGTAATTGCTGGACCATGAGACTCACTCCCTTCCCATCCCACTGCTGAACCAAAACCATAGCTGAGATTTAGGCTGAACACATCCAATCAAATCAATTGCTGACTCTGCAACCTCCGTGCTATGCAACTGCAGTTTCCAAGGCCAAGTTCCTTGGGCTTCACTCACCTGCCAGCCACTGAGCACATGTTCAATGGGTGCAACGGCTGCCGGCTCCTTGTCCAGGGGGAAAACCAGCTGTTCTGCCTGCCGGTTCTTCTGGACGATGGGATCCCATTTGGCGAGGGCCTGTGAGGTTTTATTGAATGCTACCTCCCTGTGAATCTGAAACAGACAAAGCACAAAAAAAAGGCAAAGGCTGCAAAATTAAGTTATCAAGCATAAGGGGCTAGCAGGAAATTAGAAAGCAGTGTTTCTTAGCTGAAGAGTCAGGATGCCAGAGACTAAGAAGAGCTCTTGTTTACTTCTCCAGGCTGTGCTTTCCTGAGCTTAGCCTTAAGCCTTGTCACGATAAGGAATCACAACTTTCCTCTTGCCCATTTCTCAGGCTGCTACCCCCCCTTCTCTTCTCACCTGATTTGTCCTTGTCATTCAATTTCTTCCGCTTAATGGACCACTTTCTCTATAACTCACCCGTTCAACCTCTTCTTTGTTAAGGGGTAACTCCACAGCCTTCTTTGATTTGACTCTATTCAGTTGCTTTTTCACAGTGGCCAGCGAGGATGAAGTTTTAACGGGCTCAAGCAGATCTGAAAGGACTAGTTTTTCTCCTGATCCTGTAGAAAGGCCAAACTTTCTGGTGAGACTGAGAAGTGAGGCAAAATCTCACTACCACACTGGGATATGCCTCCACAGAAAATGCTGGCAGACGGGCCAACATGCAGGGAAGTGGCACTCTTCCATCACTAGCCACAGTGCCAGTGTCACTTTTCAAGATTCCCAAACGTGTTGCAGGAAGAGAATGATTTATTTAAAAAAGTCATTTCCTTTTCTCCCTGCCTTTCTGCTTCTACTCTTGCCCCAAAGCAAACTGTTCTTTACACAGCAGTCAAAGTGGTATTTTGCAAATGTAAATCATGGCATCTCATGATCTTCTGATAGCTCCCCGCTATAACTGGAACTACATTCACCTGAAGGACACAGCCTCGTGGGACCTGGTCCCTATCTGCCTCTACCCCCAAGCCATTCCCACCTCTAGGAATGTCCCAGTCACATTTGGCCTTCTAGTCTTCAAACATGCCGAGTATATTTTTTCCTTAGAGCCTCTGTATTAGCTGCCCCTCACCTGGACTGCCTCGCCTTATCTTTGCATTGCTGACTTTCCTTATCATTCAGATCTCAGCTTAAATGTTTCCTCTTCAGAAATCTTTTGTGACCAGTCAGTCTCAAGAAGCCAGTCACTTCTATTGCATCATCCTGTTTTAATTTTTCTAGCCCTGTCCCCCCTATCAGAATGCAAGCCCTGCAAGCTTATTCTTGACGGTAGCCCCGGTATCTGAACAGTTCCTGAAGTGGATAGACAGAAGCAGCACAAGTATTTGCTGAGTGTGTAAGCCTAGAATGCCATTTTAACATGTTTCTGGAAAGTTACAATAGTGGTTACTAGAAATGTATAATTTATTCAAGCTGCCCAAGTTGTGAATATGGTGAAAAAGACTTGCCATCTAGACTTGGTAGCAGGTTAAAACCTCAATTATGTCATTTACCAGATCATGTATTTTTAACAGCGGTGATCTTACTCCCCCTCCAGGGGTTGAGAATTGGTTCTTGAAGAAAGATGGGGAGGGGGGCGTGGAAAAAAAAAAAAACAACCTTAAGTATTACAAAGTTTTGTGTTCCTCCAAAGCTAAATGAAATCTTATTCCCCAGTGAGCGGGAAGGGGCAGCTATTTTAAATAGCTATTGGCTAGATGATCTAATGGTTGATACTACTAGTAAATTGACTTCTCTGAATCCCAGGTGTAGAGATTATTTGCCTGTCCAAACTCAAAGCATGGCGAGCACTGAAAAAAAATGAAATCATGAACATTAAAAACAACTATACAAATATCAAATAGGACTGAGCTAGTAGGGAGCAGCTACCTTTATCTGTGCCCCTCTCTCCCAGAAGCAAGTCACTGACCATGGTCTTCTAGGCTTTCTTCTAAAAATGCAAGCAACTCAAGGGCATACAAGGACATTTCTGCCCCCTACTCACTGGTTTATCATTTATGATCAGCTCCACTAATCACACCAAAAACAGTCCCTGCGGGTAAGTGATCACTGTGCTTTTGGAATTCCAAAGATTCCATGCATTGATAGCTTTCTCTGAACAACTTACCTTCAGCACTGACATTGAACTCCGACACCTTCAGACTAGCCTCAGATCTCTCTGCCAATTTCCACCTGCAATTAGGCAAAATAGTATAAAATAGAAATGAACACATCTTACTGGGGGAAACAAGGCTTTGGTTTCATGTATTTTTCTTCTAGAGTCAGGTTTTGTCAGATGTGGTAGTCTAACTATCTCTTAATGTAGAACCAATACCTCAAAAACACAAGGCAATACAAGACGGGCAGCGTGAAACAGGTATTGGACTTGAATGCCCAGCCTGCCACTTGAGATGAGTGACTTTGGGGGCAAGTTAATTAACTTTTCTGATGGGAGAAGCAATGCCTATTTAATGCTTCAAGACTTTTAAGTGTAGACTAAAAATTCATACACATAGGTCACATACAATTACAGTAACAGTTATATGATGCTTATTATATGCTGGGTATTGATTAAAGAGCACTACTTCATTAACTCATTTAAATGTCACAACTCTATGAGGTAGGTGCTATTACCTTATTTCTTAGTTGAAAAAATAGAAGTGCAAAGGATAAAAAATCTGCATGTGCTCTTAATGATGCTAACACTTTGTCTTTGTTGTCTTACACACAATAAATGTTAGCTGCAGATAAATTTTATGGAATCAGCTAGTTGTTATCTGTCCAAACTGAAAGAGTGTTACCTGTTCTTTCCATCAAGAGAACTGATTGCTTCCAGAAGCTTCTGGTGCTTTCTCTCTCCATCAGTGTCCCCCTAGACACAAGGAAGGAAAAACAGAATGACGAAAGGAGAGAAAAGATAGTCTGTAAATTGAGGTCCACATAATATCTCTTCATCTCTTACAGGGAAGTGGAGAATGAGATGGGGTCTGGTGTGCTGGCATTCCAGCTCAACTGAAAAGAACGGCTTCAAAAATCTAATTCCTGCGTTATAAGGAACACAGAGCCTTAGTAACTGGAAGCTAAAGTCATTCTGGTTTTAACTTACTTTGGGTAGGAAAGTGCTGAGAGAGTAATGTTTCTGTATAGAAGATATGTGATCTGACACATAAACTGACAAAACACAAACAAAAACAAACCTGAAGTAGTTTTATCAAGAGAATAAAGAGTCGAATTCCTGTAGCATCTAACAGAGCTCCAGTTTAATTATGTAATTCCAGTAAGGTAATTTACTCTCTTTATATTCCCACAGTCCTTAATACATTACTTTATACAGATAACACTATATAACTGCTTATAATTTACTTGCAAATATTACCAATGTTGCTATCCTTTCCTTTCCAAGAACGTGCCCTCTGCCTTAATTTCCAAGCAGAAGGGAAACTGGAAGAATCTGCTTAGCAGTTGTCACCTACCTCATCTTCACTGGTGCTCAAGGGATCATCTTTTGGCAAATCTTCTAGTTCCTCCTGTTGGCTTAAAGCCAGAAGGCTGTTATAAAGAAAATAAAACACAAATATTATCACTTGAAAAAAATTGTTCTTCTATGAAAGCTATCTCTACAGCATAATTAGAGTTCTCAGCCCAAATTAGTGCTATTCCCTGCAAGAGGTACCAACTGCACAGTGGAGGCAACTTTGGAAATCAGTCAAAACATATTTAGAGTGCAGAAGGCAGGCAGCATGACAATAGGTAACTACTGGAGTGTATGTGTGTGGGGGAGATTGAACACTTCAGTGACTGGCATTGCATTTTCCAGTGACCTCTCAGAGGCTTTAACATCAGGCCCTAGGTAAGGTGGTAGAAGGTCCTGTTGCTGGCCCTCGAGGCAAGACAGGGTCGCTATTAATATTTCTAAGCATCTTCAACATGGAATACGCCTTTCCAGGAGCAGCTTACTCAAGAGTGACATATAATCACTCATTCCCAGGAAACAGGGAATTTGATGAAATCAGCTGAGTAATTTTTCCTGGGGCCTTGCAGAAATTGATAGTAGAGACTGGTACCCAGAAACAAATCAGACTCTCCTATCAACTTCTGTAAGGCAACCATTACTAAACAGACTTGGAGGCATTAAATGTCAGCGGAGAGAAAACGTCTTGGATGACTCCAATCAGCAAAGGTTTCTAAGACAAGAGGCGTTTATAACACATGCACTGTTGCGCAGAGGGCGGAGACACGCAGCGGCAGCAGAGGGGTCACGTGACAAGGAAAGTGCCACATTAACTTAGCTGGAGAGGGAAAGGCTGCAAGAGAACTAACAGGGAGAAGGCTTACAAAGATGGGGAGCCGAGAAAGTGAGTTAAGTTAAATTAAAAAGCTTTTAAAGGCTGGATCGCGGAAATAGTAACGAAAGGCGAGATCTGGGGAAGAGAACGGTTGTCGTTTGTTAAAAGACGGCTTCCACTAAACAAAGGCCAGGGGACCAGGTCCCCAGCGAGACCCCCGCTGCCCACTCACCTCTTCGCAGCCCGGATCGCGCTCATCTCACTAACCAGTCTCTCACATGGGCCAGGAGCGGAAGCCAAAAGGAAAGTAATTTCCGTGCCGGCAGCAAAGCAATTTCTGCTTCCGCCAATCACGCGCGACGCACTACGTCACTTCCGCTCCGCCCCCCAGGCGTGCGGGAGACTGGACACGCGCCGGAGGAGGGGCCTGCGGGAAACCCGGAGACCTGAGCGCAGCCTGTCAGCGGGCGGGGCTCTGCTGTCCCCACCCCTCAGCTCTGGGGCTGGGATGTGCGTCCTCCCTGCCCCTGGTTTCCACGTGGCCGTAGGTGACGGAGCAGAGGGCGCGGGTGCAGCACCGAGGGGACCGCGGCCAGAGCCTGCGCTGCCCCCGCCGCCTCCAAAAGGGAAAACTCCCTCGCCTGGCTGTGGGCTCGCCACCGGCCCGCCGAGGCTGTACTGAACGCCTGTGAAGTGGCCGGCCCGCGAACAAAGCACGTTTCCTTCCTTAGGCAAAAGCCGCCTTTCATCCTCTGTTCCCGTGCCATTGTAGCTCCAGGTTCCTCCTTACCTGTGGGACAGTTTCAGCCAAGAATGGACTGGCAGCGTCTGCAAGTGCCTCACCTCCCCTCGACCTTTAAGGAGTTGTTTTCATTGCAAAAAACGTAGAGAAGTAACTCCTAAAATATTCTTCGCATTTATCCTTTTAAACCACGTCCCTTTTGCTTGCGCCCCACCCTTCCAGTGTAACTGCTCAGGACTAGATTGTCAGTGACTCCCTAAGTTGCTAAATCGAATGGGCCCCTTTCAGTCTTTGTTTCCCCAGAACTTCGTGTGCGATTTCATACAGCACTTTGTTTTCTTATTCATATCCACGATGTGTATTTGATCATCTAAGTGTCAGGCCTCTGTGTGCTGGTGTGCATTGGTGAACAAAACACATGAAAAAAAAATCATACACGTACAAAGAGCTTGCTTTCTAGTAGGACTAAAAACAATTTTGTCGTTGCTGAAACTCCATCCTGGGCTTCCCTAACACTATTCTTTTCTGGTATCTTAACTTCATGGTCATCTTCCTCAGTCGTTGCTGTTGGATGCTTTTCTGTACTTACTCTATAGATGATGTTTCCCTGATCTTGTTCTGAGCCCTGCTTATTCCACATGCTTTTCCTACCACTGGGATAAGAACTCTCCAATTAGCATCTTTAACCCAGAAGTGTTTTTTGAACTCCAGACTAGTACCACTGACCATCTCTAGGCAATCCTTTTTGTTCAATAAGCACATCAAAATGAAGTGCCCAGTAATTTATATATTTTCACCAGAGTTCACCTGTATTTCCATCTCTATCACTAACACCATCAGCTACCCATTTAGTTAAGTGAGACAACTGCAAGTCAGCTTAGATTTCTCTCTCTCTTATGCCTCGGTTGTCCAATCACATTGTCAGGTTTGCTTCCTGAATCTGCACTTTCCCATCATTATTGCCATAGCGGGAGTCCCCTGCAGTGTCAAACCTCTGTCATCATCATAATGCTACTGAAAAGGGGAACATGAAGAGCATGTGTCTGAACAGGACCCTCTGGGTTTGAATCTTTGCTGCTTACTAGATTTGTAGTTCTTGAGTAAGTCACTTAGCTTCTCTGCACCTCTTTTTCCTCATCTTTAAAATGGGGATGCTGTTAATACACTGGGTAATTATGATAACCGAATGAAATGATGTACATAAACCACTCACATAAATGGAAAGCTTCTAGACTAATATCTGTCACACATTAAATGCCCAAGAAATATTAGCTGTAATAAATCTTTTCACTGACTTTTCAGTCTTTAATTTCTCTTCATGCAAACACCATGTCACACCCCTAAAAGATGCAACTAGATTGGCATCTGCATCATTTTCAAGATACAAAATAAAAAAAAAAACTTTCATCCTTGCCCAGCTCTCCAATTACTTGGAATTACCACTTCCTTTAAGACACTCCAGGTTTTATTTTTATGGACAGCTGATGTTCCAATGTTGTATAAAATACGAATACAAGGATTTAGAACATTGACTTTTTAATCTATACTTAATCTCATTGAAAACAATGTGTTTAGGCCCTCCCTGGTGGCGCAGCGGGTTAAAGCACTGCACTAAGAAGCTGAAACCACTTCTGCATGAGTTCGATTCCCGCCTGCCCCGGAGGTGACCACATGGTGTGGCAGGCCTCTCCTAACCCACCCGCTGCTCCCCTCAGCAGTGTACTTTGTCCATCTATCTGTTCTGCTCCCCACTCTGTCTCTGGTGAAGTCTTTCATCACCCCTGAGTCTCTGGCCTGTATCCCAGTTCTGTATGCACAAATAAATAAATCTTTAAAAAAAAAGGAAACAATGTGTTTGTTATGCAAATGAAGCTTTGGAATCAGTCCCCCCACATACTCTTACTCCCCAGGTCTGGAAGGATTGTGGCCGTATGTTACTCTTCTGAACTATGGACTGTCAGTGTGGTATTTCAGCTGAGACCTAAAGTAGGAGAAGTCAGCATTGCAAAGAACTGGGGTTTATAAGAATGCTCTCAGGCTCTCTGGGTTGGTTGGGAAGAAGCTGTTACATTTTAGCAACTGAAAAATCAGATGCTAGTGAATGATGGTGAAAATCAGCTGCTAGTGAATGAAGGTAGATATAACAGAGGATGGAGAAGTGGCCAGGGGTAAGGTCTTGTGTGGCCTTGTAGGCGGTGGTAAAGGCTGAATTTTAGTCTACGTGAAATGGACCACTAGGGGCTATGTAGGAGAATGGAATTTCTAAATTTTAATAAAGCCACGTTGTTGTGTGAAGAATAGATCAAGTGTAATTCCAGTGGAAACAGAGAGACTGGTCAGAAGCTATTGTGTAATACAGCAAGGGAATGATAGTTTGGAACAGGGTGGTGGCTATGGAGATAGAGGCATTGATGGGTCCATCAGAGGAGTGTGGAGGTCAGGGAAGGAAATTTATATTTATATCACTGACTTGAATAAGTGAGTGGTGGTAGACTGTTTATTGAGATGCAGAAAACTAGTGATGAAGGGAACAGATTTGAGGAGTGAGAAGAAAAATTCAGCTTTGCATTTTTGAGATTTGAGAGCAAGTGGAGATAATCAAGTATATAGTTGGATATCTAAGTTGTGAAAGACAGCTAAGAACCTTTGATCTTGATTAGTGCTACTAGTGATGATTAGCAAACAAAAATGTTTCCCCTTCAAGTATGTTTATATTTCAGTTGATTTACATATCGCAGAAAGGACCCAGGCTCAGCAAAAGCTTGCCATATGGCAACAATTGTGATTTTACCATAAATTCATGACATTGTATGCTCTGCAACATTAACCTAGTAGGTATACACTAGTGTTTTTTTGAATTAACGATTAAAGTAATAATGATTCCATGCTATTTATTCTTGTTAAAGATGCATATTAATAACTACACAATTTTAACATTTACAGAGTGCTCACTACAGGCTGAATGTCTGACAACCCCCTCTCCCCCACAATTTATATGTGGAAATTCTAGTCATCAAGGTGGTAGTATTAGGAGGTGGAGCCTTTGGAAGGTGATTAGATTATGAGGGAAGGGCCCTCAAGAATTCATTAATGGGTCATAATAGAGACCCTAGAAGGCTCCCTTTACTTCATTCACTTTATGAGGACACTGCAAGAAAGTGCCAGTTATGCACCTGGAAGAGGGCTCTTACCCAACTGTGATGGCACCTTGATCTTGGACTACCAGCCTCCAGAATATGGCAAAATAAAATTCCACTGTTTGTAAGTCATGTAACCTATTGTATTTTGTTAAGGCAGCCTGAAGGGACTAACAGGGTCCTTGTACATCAATTATACAAGTTTATTAAATTTTTAATTTGAAATAGTTGTAGATTTATGTAATGGAAACAATAACACAGCAAACTCCTGTCTACCCTTCATGTACTTTAACACTAATGGTAACATCTTGAAAAACTCAAATAAGATCATTATATTGGTGTTGACATAGTCAAGGTATGCAGAGATTTTATCACCCCAAGGATCCCTTGTTGGCCACATCCCTCCCTCCCTGCCTCCTCCTAAACTCCATTTCTGCAATTTTTTCATATCAAGAAATATTACATAAAATAAGAATGTTGTCTAAATAAAGTCATATACATATAACACATTTAAAAAAGCAAAATTACAAAGCAAAGATCTATGGTAGTGATCTGGCAACCTGTTTTCCAGTGTCATCGCAGCTTTTTCCCTTCCCACCAGCATGTATGACGCTTCCAGTTTCTTCACATTCTGGTCCAAACTTGTTTTCGTCTGTCTTTTTTGGTTATAGTTATTTTGGTGGGTGTGAAATATTCTCTCAATGTAGTTTTGATTCACATTTTCCTGATGACTACTGATGTTGAGGATCTTTTTATGGCTTCATCGGTCCCTTGCATGTCTTTGGAGAAATGTCTCTTTCAAATAGTAGTTAAACTCACTTTGAAGGTTCCTGGTCTGCCAATGTGTTAGACCCCTATTCTGGGTCAATTTTGATTGACTGATCTCATTATGAGTGATAAGTTCTTGCTTTTTTGGATGCTAGGGATGTTTTTTTCTTTTATTTTTAACTTACAAAAAAAGTAAGCTTAAGAAAAACCTTAATGATATGTTTAATTTACATACCATAAACTTCACCGAGTGTAAATGTTCAATTCAGTGACCTTTAATAAATGTACTGAGTGTGCAACCACCATGGTAATATATTTTGATAACATTTCTATCATCCTAGTAAGACCCATTTTCCTCTTTATAGTTAAGTCCTGTTCCCACCCCTAGCTTCAGGAAAACTTTAATATACTTTCTGTCTCCATAGTTTTTATTTTCCTGTGCAGTTCATGTCTATGGAATACTGAAGTCTGTGGTCTTTTACATTCAGCATCTTGGATTTAGCATGATTTTGCATTCTATGTTGTAGCGTATAGCAATATTTATTCATTTTATTGTTGAATAAAATTCCATTTATGGATATACCATATCTTATTTACTTTTCCACCAGAATATGGGCATTTTATATGTTTTCACCTTTGGGCTATTAATGGATAATGCTGCACTGAAAACTGAGTGAAAATCGTTGTGGGGCATGTAGTTTCATTTCATTTTATAGGGTAGATATTGGGGTAGAATCATTTAATTATATGGTAAATTTATATTTGACTTTAAAAAATCTGATGAATTGTTTTCCAAAGTGACTGTATAATTTTGCATTTCTACTAGCAATATATGAGCGTTGTTACTTCTCAATATCCTTGTCAATATCTGTTATTATCTATCTTTTTTATTATAGCCTTCTAAGAGATTTATAGTAGTAGCTCACTGTGATTTTAATTTGCATTTCTCTCAAGATTAATGATGTTGAGTTTATTAGCCACCAATATATCTTCTTTGGTGAAATGTCTGTTCAATCTTTTCCTGTATTTGTCTTATTATTGAGTTTTTCATTTTTTATTCTGAATACAAATCCTTTGTCAGATATGTGATTTGCAAATGTTTTCTCAGAGTGTGTGGCTTGCCATTTCATTTCATACTGGTATTTTCAAGTATATATTTTGAATTTTGATAAGTTTAACTCACCAATTTTGTCTTTGATGAATTGTGCTTTTTAGTCTTTAAGAAATCTCTGCCTATCCCAAGGTCACAAAGATTTTTTTTTCCTATGTTTAGTTCTAAATGCTATGTAGTTTTGGCTTTTATTTTAGTTTTGATGCATTTTGAGTTTATTTTTTGTGTATGATGTGAGATAAAGATAAATTTATCTTTTTTGTTTGTGGATATATTGTTTGTCCTAGCACCATTTTCTGAAAGACTCTTATTTCCAATTGATTGCTTTGGTATCTTTGTCACAAATCAATTGACCATAATTTAAGAGTTTATTTGTGGACTTTCCACTTTGTTCCACTGATCTATATTTCTGTCTTTATGTCACTATCATGCCATCTTGGTAACTGTGACTTTATAGTAAGTTTTGAAATATGGAAGTGAAACTTCTCCAATCGACTTTTTCTTCTTTAAAGGTTTATTTATTTATGCATAGAGGAACTGGGTATAGACCAAAGGCATGGGGGTGGGGGAGAAGATTCACCAGAGACAGTGGGGAGCAGAATAGGCAGAGGCACTGAAATGCACCGCTGAGGGCAGCAGCAGGTGAAGCAGGAGAGGTCTGCCAGCCATGTGGGTCAACTCCCTCTCTGGGGAGCCAACTTATGCCACAGTGGCTGTGGATAGCCTGATAGCACTTTGTCTTCAACCCCTGCGTCACCAGGGAGGCCCCAACTGACTCTTTCCTTACAGTTTTTGTTGTTGTTGTTGTTGTTATTCTGGGTCCTTTGTGTTTCCTTGAACCTTTTAGGATCAGCTTGTCGATTTTTGCAAAAAAAAAAAAAAGCATGCCGGGATTATTAGATTATTATGTTTTATTTAATTTATACATCAGTTTGGTAAGACTGCCATCTTAACAATAACAGGTCTTTTAATTCAAAATGTGGAATTTCTCTTCATATAGATCTTTAATTTCACTCAACAATGTTTTCATACTTTTTATATATAAGCCTTAGACATGTTTTGTTAAATTTATTTCTAAGTACTCTATGCTTTTGATGCTCTCTTCCTTATTTCATTTTCACAGCTTGTATTAGGAATGGTTTATTTTTATATTTAGCTTTTATCTCACACCCTCACTAAATTCACTTATTAGTCTACTAGTTTTTTTGTGTGTGTGAATTCCATCTGACTTTTTATATTGATGATCATCGTCTACCAAAAAACAAAATGGTTTCACTTCTCCTAATAGAATCAGGATACTTTTTATTTCTTTTCCTTTCCTGATTGCACTGGCTTTGAGCCGTCCCTGCAATATTCAAGGAAAGTGAACAGAATGGACATCTTTGATTTGTTTCCAGTCTTGGAGGAGAGCATTTACTATTTCATCAATGATACTATAAAGATGATATAAAGTGAACAACAGAATTCCCTCATGTCCTTTATTAATTTGTGAGATTTGCTTTCTATTCTGTGTTTGTTTGAGATTTTTTTTAATTGTGATAAAATATACATAACAAAATTTTACCATTTTACATGTACATTCAGTGGCATTAAGTACATTCACATTGTTGTGTTACCATCACCAGCACCATTTCCAAGACTTTTCATCTTCCTTAACTGACACTCTACCCATTGACCACGAACGCCATTTCCTGACAACTACTATTCTAGTTGGTGTCTCTCTGAGTTGGACTGCTACAGGCATCTCATATAAGTGAAATGTAATATTCATTCTTTTGTGACTGGCTTGCTTCATTTAGCATAATGTCTTTATATCGAAGCATGGCCAGAATTGCCTTTTTTTTAAAAAAAAAGATTTATTTATTTATGCATACAGAACTGGGGTACAGGCCAGAGGTGCAGGGGCAGTGAGAAGATTCACCAGAGACAGAGTGGGGAGCTGAACAGGTAGATCCATGAAGTACACTGCTGAGGGGAGCAGTGGGTGGGTCAGGAGAGGTCTGTCACACCATGTGGTCACCTCCTGGGCAGGCGGGGATCGAACTCATGCGGAAGCGGCTTTAGCTTCTCAGTGCTATGCTTTAACCCACTGCGCCACCAGGGAGGGCCAGAATTGCCTTCTTTTTTAAGGCTGAATAACATTGCAGTGTAGATATGGACCATATTTTGGGCATCCATTCATTTGTTGATGGGCACTTGGTATGCTACCCTTCTTAATCCATTTCGGCTGCTATAACAAAATCCCACCGAATGGGTAGCTTATAAACAAGAGAAATTTTATTTCTCGCATTTCTGGAGGCTAGAAGTCCATGATCAAGATGCCAGTATGGTTGGGTGAAGGCCCTCTTCCTGGTCCTTACACGGTGGATGGAGATTGGAAGCTCTGTGGTATCTCTTTTATAATAGTACCAATCCTATTCATGAAGGTTCCACACTGATGACCTAATAGTGTCCCAAAGGCTGTCACCTACTAATAGGTAGAGCTTGGGGAATTAGAATTTAAACATTAATTGTTGGGAGGAGGGGTGTGGCTACAACTGTCCACACCACAGCACCACCTTTTGGCTACTTTGTGCAATGAGGCTATGAACAGGGGCATACAAACACCTGTTGGTAATCCTGCTTTGATTTTTTTTTTTTTTTTTTGGTATATACCCAGAAATAGAATTGCTGCTGGATTATATGGTAATTCAATGTCCAATGTTTTGAGGAACCACCATATCATTTTCCACAGTGGCTTCACTAGTTACATTCTCACTGGTAACACATAAGAGTTCTAATTTCTCCACATCATCACCAACACTTGTGGTCCTCACTCTTTTTTGTTTTCCTCCTCCTCTCCTCTTTCTCTCTCCCTCTATCCTCCTCACCTCCTACTGGGTCTGAAGCCTCAACCGAGGAACAAAGAGAAGCCTGCTTTGATGACACCATCTTGATGTGAATCTGATTGACCAACCCACTAGGGCTGAAGTCAGCAGTGGGCTCTTGGAGTCCCTACTTAAGTCTACTCTTCCCATGTGTAATCAAGGCATTGGATTGCCCTTTGGAGAAATTTCTTGGCAAGGAGTGCCGGCATTTTTCTCCAGTGAGCTATGGGAATTTCTTGGCTATGCAGGTGCCCTCTTCACAGAAAAACATTATTTCAAAGTCAGATCTCTTTGATGTTGCTTGTTTTGCTATTTTCACAGCTTGTTCTCCGATCCAGTGGGCTGTAAGGGATCCTGTCCTTGGAAACCTGTGGCTTAATATTTATTTATTTTTTAAATGGAAGGGGGGAGGGGCACTTTAATCCTGCTCCATCTAGAACACCCGAGTGAGGTCTCAGATCACTGCAGTCACAAATCTCCAGTCTGTGTGCTTGGAACTCTTTTTTTTTTTTTAAAGATATATTTATTTATGCATACAAGAACTGGCCAGAGGTGCAGTGGGTGAGAGGATTCCCCAGAGACAGAGTGGGGAGCAAACAGGCAGATCTACTGAAATACACTGCTGAGGGGAGCAGCGGGCTGGTCAGGAGAGGTCTGCTGTGCCATGTGGGTCACCTCCCTGGCTGGGAATCGAACTGGTGCTACAGTGACAGTGGATATCTTCAGAGTGCTATGCTTTAACCCATTGTTCCACCAGGGAGGGCCCCTATTACTAATATTCAAATGTTTAATTTGCTGCTAATACTAAGAAGGATAGTATAAAGCCTAATAATTTCACTTATTAAGTTGGACAAATAAATTATATGTATGTTCATAGGCCTTAAAAGAGCCATTCTCCTATTCTCATTCTATACCCATTTCTAGACTTGAGTACTGTGAACACTCGCAAATTTTGGTGCAGAGGTCATCATTACGGATTAATAAAAATACAGAATGACTTAAATCATCAAGTGCTAAGTGGCAGTAACTTGTCTTTGAGCACATATTATTTTTCTAGAATGATAAGAAACCTTAGAAGTGGCACCACAGCTTTCCCACTGTCATTTTACAGGTGTGGGAAATAAAGATGAAGTGAAGGCATATGTGTGTGTGTGTGTGTGTGTGCCCAAGATATCATAAATCCATGGCAGATTCCTAATTGAAGGTTATTTCCATAATATGTTGTTCCAAGTGGAAGTTTAAAATATCTTTGATTTGAAGTTTTCTATAAACCTTGGGTTTAAAAAAATGAATGCAATGTAGCCTAAAATAGAAAAATGTTTTTGTGAACTCACATTTTCAGCTAACAACCAATTAGAAACCAATACAGTAGCAATGCTGCTATAAGTGTCAGAGGAGCCCAGGGCCCTCCCTGGTGGCGCAGCGGGTTAAAGCACAGCACTAAGAAGTTTAAGCCACTTCTGCATGAGTTCGATTCCCGCCTGCCCCGGAGGCGACCACATGGCACGGCAGACCTCTCCTGACCCGCCCGCTGCTCCCCTCAGCAGTGTACTTTGTCAGTAGGCCTGTTCTGCTCCCCACTCTGTCTCTGGTGGATCCTCTCACTGCCCCTGCACCTCTGGCCTGTACCCCAGTTCTGCATGCATAAATAAATAAATCTTTAAAAAAGTGTCAGAGGAGCCCATTCACCCGCACGTGCCCCTCACACTCACACACCCCCACCAACCACCCCTGTATTTCTCCACCCCAACTCTTCCTACACCCGCTCCCTGTCCTGCATCCTCTCACACCCTCTATCCCCACTCTTAGCCTCTCCACCCCACCCTACCTCTTTCACCCCATCTGACACCCCCTTCCCCCCCTCCATCCCTCCCCCCACCTCTCCCCTTTCCCTCCCACCACCTCTCCACTTTCCCACCCTCCACTCCCTTCACTCCTCCCCCACTGCTCCTTGTGACTGCCCAACCTAAGTATAGGTCAGGTAGGACTGAATGGTGCAGTTTCATTTCTGAAACCACCGGGGTGTTGTTTTTAATATGTAACACAGGGACGTGAGCCAGACTTCCGCCAACTTTAAGAGACAGACTGTCTTCTGGAGAGGTCTTGCAAATCTTCACAGACCTTTGAGAACTTCATGTCTGATTTTTGCTGCAAACCACTGCCAGTGTGCTGCTCCTGCCTCTGGCCTTGCCTCCAACATGGCTTGCTGATGGGTGCTGACAGGTGTGACCCCGCCTATGCCTGACACCTGTAAAGAGCTAGCTATTGCTGGTCTACACCTGGCAGCTTGCTAAGAGCTATAACTCTGGTACCTCAGGCTACCACTTTCCTTTTCCCAAATTTTTCACCTCTCTCAATCCATTGTGTAAAAGCTCTGTTACTTGTTGCACCCTGAGCCTGAGTTGTGTCCTGCAATTGTAGTTTCAAGTATATGGGTAAGGACCCACAGACTGTGGCGTTTGCACCTCCATCCCCCCAGTTTTACATGGTTTCAAGAGTAGATTAGGGGGGTATTATTAAAAGCAAGTGTAGTGAGGTCAATCTTCAAGTTTTCTAGGTTATTTTATGAATCATACACACTATTATTAGATATTTTAGTATCACTAAAACTACTTTCTAAAGTATATTTTGAAACTAAGCTAAATTACTAAGAAATTTACTTTGGCGCAGAAAAAGACACTTCTGGAAGAAGAGCAAAAAGAGCTTTAATAACTCTTATCTATTTCACTCCCTGAAAAATGTGTTGAACATATTACAGATAAAAAGGTAAGAAATAAAAATCCACCCATTTCTGGAATCATGAATCAAACTTGGGAAGTTGGTTTCCCTTTGTAGCCTTTTTTTGCTGGTTCTTTCTTCCAATTTATGATCTTCTGACTGGGTGGATTGTATTTTCCTGTTTTCATTACATTATCTTTCAGTCTTTGCATTTGATCCATCTGCTGCCTCCTAGAAACGGAGTGTGAGTTAGAGAGCTGGTATAATTCATGTAGGCATACACGGCGTTCATCATCTATCCTCTGGTAAGCCTTTGTTTCTTGTTCCAGTTTAAGTGCACAGGCTTTCACTTGACATTCAAGACTTCTTTTTTCTTTTTCTAGCTGTTTAAGTAAGGTATGTAAGGCCTCTGCTGGCATTCGCTCGTAGGCACGAATAGAAGATAGTCTATCTGCAGGATTTTCTTGGATTTTATCCATTTTCTCTTTGAGAGCAGTAATTTGCTTTTGTAGATGTTTATTTATCTCAAGTTGTGTCTCATAACGGATTTTCCATTCACTGCCTTCATTGTCGTCAGTGAGTTTGTCTTCCAGTTCTTCTATCTTTTGTTTCATTTCAATTACTGAAAGTTTTGCTAAGTCTCTCATATGTGTTTCTTCCAGTAACTCCAGTTTAAGGCGGTCAGTGCTTATACCTTCAAAGTTATCCTCTTTTCCATCAGCCATAGTGTCTAATCAGAGGTCACTTCAACTTTCCCTTCACACACCTTAGAGAAGAAGACCTGAAGGGACACCCAGAAGCTGAGAAGAAGAAAGTGTTGCTGAGAACTGTTGCCATGGAGTACTGGCTTCTAGAATTTTTTATTGTTTTCCTCATAACTTTGAACATGTCATGACAATTTCTTGTTTTTTTATGGGTTCTAATGTAAAGTCAGCTGTTAGTCTTAATATGGTTACTTGGTTTGTGAAATATCATATTCTTCTTGTTTTTTATAAGTTTTTTTCTCCTTAGGTTTCAATAATTTAACCCTGATCTTTCTATCTATAAATATCTTTGGGTTTGTTCTATTTGGAATTCATTGAATTTCTTGAATGTGTTGATTAAAGTTTTTCATCAAATTTGAGATGTTTTCATCCATTATTTCTTCAACTATGCCCCCTTTTCCCTCTCATCTTTTGGGACTTGCATTATGTATATGTTGTATCTCACAAGGCTATGAATTTCTTGAGTTTTCTTCATCATTTTGTATTTTATTTTTTACACTGGATAAACTCTCTACAGCTATCCTTAAGTTTGCTGATTCTTTCCTCTGCCAGGTAAGTCTGCTATTGATCCCACTGAGTAAAATTTTCATTTCAGTGTATTGTACCTTTTAAGCTCAGAATTTCATTTTTAATAATTCATACTTACTTATATTTTCTATGGAATGAATCATTGTCACCATACATTCCCCTAGTTTTTTTTTAAAGCTTTTATTTATTTATGCATACAAGGACTGGGGTATAGGCCAGAGGTCTGGGAGGTGAGAGCATTCACCAGAGACAGAGTAGGGAGCAGAACAGGCCAATCTAGTGGAACACACTGCTGAGGAGAGCAGCGGGTGAGACAGGAGAGGTCTGCTATGCCATGTGGGTCAGCTCCCTGGCCGGGGATCGAACTTGGGCTGCAGTAGCCATGGACAGCTTTACAGTGCTGTGTCTTAACCCATTGGGCCACCAGGAAGGGCCCCATCCTTTAGTTCTTTTAAAAATTATTTCCTTTAGTTCTTTGAACACATTTATAATAGCTTATTTGAAGTCCTTTTTGACTAAATAAATCATCTAGACCATTCCAGAGATAGTCTATCTAGGTTACTTATTCCCCTTGTGCATGGGCTGTAATTTTTTGCATATTTTATATTTTTTTGTAGAAGCTGGATATGTTAGATGATATTTCTGGATTATGATTTATCCCATCTCAGGAGTTGAGGGATATCTTTTACTGTTTTTAAATTTTCCTTTTTTTTTTTAGTGATGTGCTTAGATATATTTCCCCCATAGCACGTGACAAATGAAACCCTTGCTCTGTGTTTAAAAATTTTTATTCTTATTTTAAAGCTTAGTTACCTAAGGTTCATGCTTTTGTCATCACAACTTAGTGATCAGCCAATTATTGGTCAGAGATTTTGCCTGAACACGGAGCCACCAGTAAGGTTTCAACCCTCTTCCTAGGGAATCCAGTTATGTTGGTACTCATTCTGGGTTTGGGCATTTACAAATTTCCCCTGATTTTTCACTTTCTACTTGTATAGGGCCTCAAGGTCAGCCATGAATCAACAGATAACTGAGGCTATGATCTCCACGCTTGTGTGCAGCTCACACATGTGCACTGTCTTCCACATTCACTGGAATATATGGGATCTTAGGACGGTCTCATTTTCAAGATGTTACTTTTAAATTTACGACTCTCTGTTGCTTGCACTAAACATTGAGCAACAGGCAGCTGTGTTGCTGGCATTTCCTGATCATTTGTCCGGAGTTCGTTATTTACCATGGAGCTTTTCTGCAGAAGTTCAACGTGGGGCAGCCCCTTTAAGGTACAAGATTTCTAGTCCTTCAGCCCTCAGCATTACTACACCAAGGAACAGGGGCATAGGAATGACCTCCAGTTAAAATACCATTTTACCTTGCTGTTCTTGCTGCTGCTTAGCATCTTTTTCTTTCTAGATATTTTTCAATGTGTATAAAATGTTACTTTCCAAGGTTTTGAAATGGTTGCTTTTGACAATTTTGTATTTTATCATTCATTTTGGGGAGAGGATTTGGCAAGGTGCTCACTTGGCTATTCTGAAGTCCCACCATGCCTAGTCATTTTTTTGATGCTTTTTGGAGATGTAATTAATGTATATATTCGTCTCATTTAAATGATACTATTCCATTTTAAAAATATATTCCTAATGTTATGCAAACATGATTGCAATCTAATTTTAGAACATGCTTGGAGAGCTGGGCATGCGTGGGAGGAAGAGCTTGTGGTAGTCTGGGAAGTCTTTAAAGGGCAGGGCCCAGCTCTGTTCCTCTTGAGTCCCTCATCCCTTCACATGATTTACTAAATGTGTTTGGACACCACATTATGTTTCAGGAATGGGAGAAGTGGAATGGGTGGGGTCTATAACTAGAGTCAAACATCAGGATAGGGGATGAGATAGGGGCCCCAGCTGTGTCCCCACACCCCAGAGCCTCTGAGGCCTATCTCTCAAGCAGACAAAGGTTGTAATAGCTGTGCTCAGGGATATGTGTTTTGATGCTGTCCTATACAAGACCCTTTTCTGAAGGTCTTGTTCTGGTCAGGGGTCTCTGTCTGCCTCTGTCAAGAGAGGTAAGCAGATACAGAGACCCAAGACACCAAAGGAGCAAGACTGAGGAGGGCAAGACAGAGGAGCAAGGTGTGAAGAAAGCAAGAGACCCCTAATGAAAGAAAGGGCTGGTGTGTGTAGAAGAAAGAGGTATCAGGAACAGGTTCTGCATTCCCCAGACCCTGGTTCCACACAAAGTATCACATATAGTAATTTGTTATTGATACCGGTGTTGAAATTTAACTTGTCTATTTCTGTATTATAAACTTTCTTGAATTATGTTTGGGGATACAGTTAAGGGATTCAAAGGAATAGTTTGATCCTTTTGGAGCTTGTGTTTAAGATTTATTAGTTGGAGCACTATTAAGTAGTGCTTAGTCTAGGGCTGTTCTTCACCACTGAGGCAAGACCCTTCTGTGTACTCTATCCAATGGTCCATGCATGGTGAGCTTTTCAATCCGATGGTGAAAAAAAACAAGTGTTCTCTTCATGTGGCAATGCTGGCACTGTTACCTCTACTCTTTCTGTATGGTACTTTGCAAATCCCTAGATAGGGAACACATACAGACACGAAGGTCAGTACTCACATGTGTCCCTATGGAGGTGCTTCTGCAGATCACTGACGTTTTCTTTCTATCAACTTTCTTCCCTCTGATATAATTCTGAATATTTTGTTCGCCATATTGTTCCTGGATGCTAAGGTCCATCTCAACTTTAGTTGTCTGTTAGCATGAACCCGTATACTTGTATTCAACTGAACCAATGACATAAAAATCTCTGCCTGTGATTGTGTATCTATGTGTCTCACTAATTCTGTCATGTGTTTTAAAATTTGATTAGATGCATTCATGTTTTTGGCTTGTTAGATAGTCTTTTCTAAAAAAAGAATTATTTATTTATGCCTACAAGAGCTGGGGCGCAGGCCAGAGGTACGGGAAGGCAGTGAGAGGATTCGTTGGAGACAGAGTGGGGAGCAGAACAAGCAGATCTACTGAAATAAACTGCTGAGGGGAGTAGTGGGGAGACAGGAGAGGTCTGGTGAACCGTGTGGGTCAGTTCCCTGGCCAGGACGGAACTTGTGCTGCAGTGTCTGTGGATTGCTTCATACTACTGAGACTTAACCCTTTGTGCCATCAGGGAAGCCCTTGTTATATATTTGTGATGAATTACCTATTTTATCCTTATGAAATGATCCTCTGTCTCTGATGGTTGATAATACCCCTTGGCTTGCAATGCACCGTGACTGTGCCTTCTATTAATGGAGCTGTACCATCTGTGTTATGTTTAATACTTACATGGGCCCTTTCTCATCCTTTTACTTTAACCTTACCTGTTTTTATATTTAAAGTATATTTCTTATAAGCATCATATAGTTGGAGTCGTACCCATTAAGAATTATCTGTCGGGCCCTCCCTGGTGGCGCAGCCCGTCAAAGCACTGCACTGAGAAGCTAAAGCCCTTCCGCATGAGTTTGATCCCCGCCCGCCTGGGAGGAGATCCACATGGTGTGGCAGACCTCTCCTGACCCGCCCGCTGCTCCCCTCAGCAGTGTACTTTGTGGATCTGTCTGTTCTGCTCCCCTCTCTGTCCCTGGTGAATTCTCTCACCCTCCACATCTCTGGCCTGTACCCCAGTTCCATATGAATAAATAAATAAATCTTTAAAAAAAATTATCTGACAGTCCTTGCCTTTTCATTATTTTATAGTTAATATAATTATTAATAAAGTTAAATTTAAGTTTGTCATCTTGTTCTTTGTTTTCTACTTGCTCTTTCTTTGTTTTCTTCCTTTTTTATCTTCTTTTGGATTAATATATTATATTTTAATATTCCATTCTAGTGGTCTTAGCTATATATAACTGATATATAATAATATAATACAACTAATTGGCTTTTGCTATAACTCTTTGTGTGTATTTCTGTAAGTATGACAGTGGATATACTTCCTCTTACAGAGTGAGCAGTTAGGAGAAACTACCTATGGTTGATCAAACAAAAAATATAAGTTTATGCATACCATTTAAAGTAAAAATACAACCATTAGAAGAAATTTTTAAAAATATTAAACTGTATTGGAAGGGTGTGTCATAGCATTATTTAGATAATGTAAAAGAAGAAATAGAGAGGAGGGGACATATTGGAAGAATTTTTAGGATATAAATACTAAGGGCTTGGTGATTGCTTTAATGCAGTAAACGAAGGATGGGGAGAGGCAAAGATGATTCACAGATTTCTAGCTTGAGTGACTGGGTTGATATGGTATCACAACTGAGGTCAAGGACATTGAAGAGTATCTGGTTAAAATGAGAAGATGATAGATTCAGTTGTAGTTGAATGTGGTACATTGTGGTCATGATATCAAGTAAGTACACACACAAGTGGACAAAGGTTC